TTATTGTGATTTTTTGCGAGGGGAGGGGGGGATGGAGGGGTCGAATGGGGAAATGGGGCATCGGGATTGTTGGAGAGGGGATAAGGGGATATTTATGGGCTATGTGTAAAGAAAATAATATATATATATATATATATATATCCCTTGCGAAGTTTGAAGCAGATCCATCGATACCAGAATGAGAGAGATTTTTTTTGGTCTGTGTGGCTGGGTAGGTAAGGCTTGCAAAAGACTTGGGTCAAGGTGGTTTTCTTGAATACTACCTACCTACTTACTACCTTGTCTCTTTGGTAGCTGCCGCTACGAGGCTTCTGAATCTCGCTGTCGAGAGTCTTCGCTAGGGTTTCTGATATGGTTCGTTCGGAGTTGGCTGGAAGCAGTGGCAAGGACACTCACTCACTCACTTGCTCTTTGTGCGGAGATGACTGGGTCCTACTAGCCTGGCTGGCGGAGAATTCTTGCTACATGTGCTGAAAATGTATGACTGGCACCCAGCTTCCGAGGTACATGTTCGGTTTGATTTACCAATCAAGTTCATTAATGTCCCCTGTGTAACGAAAGCAGTCAGCACCCATGATAGAATTTTCTAGAGGGATCAGGAGTCAGGAAGAAGTTTCCATCCCTAGTTCGACAGCCCGGAGAAAGGATGTGACATCTCCCTTCCTAAAGATTGCTGGATTCTGAACCTACATGGCAAGTCCTCGTCGGCGATCTCTGCACACAAGAAGTAGTCACACAACGATTCGACAGGTTCTGTGAGAGTCAGGACACGCTTATCATCCAGTAAGCTATAAAACGCCTCTCTCATCTGATCGTGAAGGCCATTCTTTGGCTCCCCCAGCTGTCGAATCAACATCGGTAAATTGACTCGAGATGCCAAAGTGCTACTGGCAGCCTCGAGCTCCATCAAAAGTGATTCTGATGTGGTAGTACTGCCCATACGCCGGTCCGAATAGATTTGGCTAAGCATTCTGACAGTAAATTCGGCAACCTTTGCACCGACCTCGGCCCATGCATGGCGGGCAATCTTCCTCAACTTATGGCACTCGATTAAATGATAACCTGGGCTTGAATATGGGCCGACGGCGTAGATGAGGCTCTCTCTGAAGAGCAGTGCGCTTCTGACAGTCGTAGCAAGAGCAAGATACGTGCATGGAAGTTCAATCAAGTCGTAGGCCAGCATTTGACTCCTGAGCATAGCTGCATCCAGTGTGCGTGATACGGCGGGCAGAGCACAGTAATAATCAGCCATCTTGACTAAGTCCTCCAAGTCAGCCGGACCTTCGAGGGAGTATGGCTTGTTGTAGATGGCGCAGAGGAATATCGAAAAGACACCGAGCTCTCTATCGATATTACCGGCGAACGTCGAGATATCAGGCTCATTTTCCTAATTTACGGTCAGCTTTGGAGTTTGGGTTTTGATTACTGGTTGGCGGATTGCGTCGGAGGATAATATGCCAAGATAGTGATGCTAGAGCTAGGACTAGTGACTTGGAAATCTCACCTTTGATTGGCAAGAAACCAGATGCCAGTCCTCATTTTCCTCTCCATCAATGGCCGCAGCCCATTCATATTTGAAATGTGACGTGCTCAAACTTCTGGGGGTACTGGTGTTGCCCAGGATCAAAGGTGAGACAACACCTTGAGCTGTGGCAGTCTTATCGGGTGAGTCCAGGAACTTTCTAAAGAAGGCTGTATTCAGTTTCTTGAAAAAGGCCCATCAGCTATTGCGTATATTGGTGGTTGCTCAGGAATATGAAAGAGGCGGCTTCAGAGATGGGAATAGGAAAGAAAGACTCTCAATACTCACAAGAAGTACCGAATGGACGTGGTATTCTTGACCAAACACTGTAAGCCGAACGTCAGGTTGGTATCCTGGCGTCTCGAACACGATGGGGGGGAGTTTTGGTTCGATCTTCTATCTTTTGTTTGGAGGTTGCCCCATGTTGTCTGATACGAAGCAGCAGAGATTTGTTTTTACTCTGCTTTGAGAGAGTTGTCAAGCAAAGGAAGTGTCGGTACCGATGAAAAGTGTGAATACATGGGGGTACCAATTGTATTCGTGAAGTCTGAAGGGGCTCATCTATTCTGGCTGAGGGAGAGCTATATACTGGTGCCAAGGCAGGCGTCCCTAGTGTAGCAACGTGACCTGGTGCCTACATTTCCATACGGCAAAGAGAATTGTTTTCGAAGCCAAAGAAGCAAAGAGAATTGCGCTCGAGAAAGAAGGAAAGAGAATCGATCAGGAGAACAAAAGCAAGGCACCCGAGCCGCGTGACCTGGTGCCTGCATTCCCACAGGCAGGAAGGTCTGTAGAATAAAGATGTTTGGCCAAACGGACGCTAGCGTGCACTGCGAAACGAGTTCGGCAAAGGGATTTTATGAGTGAATCTGGCTGATCAGGCCATGCTCACTTTTAATATTTTGCTCGGAAGCTCTGATACGTAATCTGGAGTCGATAAAGAAGTGTCAGGGTTTGTATTTTGATCGGGTACATTTGTTTTTCTTGATACTATGCACCCTATCGGAAGGAGAAGCGAGTAAGTACTTATATATTGTCAAAAGCTCGGTCCGATTACATCGTTTTCGAACTATATTCGTGGGTGTTGGGGCCCGTCTGGTTCAAAGCCATTTTGTACAAACTGGCCCAATTTGTACAAGTTGAAAGGGTGTTTAGAGTTTGGTTCAGACTCAAAATCGATTTTACAAACTGAGTTATATACGAAGCATATCCCCTAACATGTCCACCCCTCGTAGTAATTAATCCAAACCTTTATCCTGCGTGTCTGAATCCACTCCTCACCACCAACGTTCCCAGATATTATCCCTCTCTCTATCTAGTCTAGATTTCGAAATCAATAGTATCGAAACTCAATGCTCGTGATTTACTCACCCCTTCGCTTCTCCCTCCTCGCTTCTCTCCACCCCCACCACACACACACAAAAAAAAAAATTATATCTACTCTATAGAAGCCGTTCCCCCGTCCCCTTTCATCAACTGCGAGGAATGGCATGGTGGTTTAGTGGCTATGAGCCGCTGGCCGCTTCCAAGTACACCTGTTGATAACGAAAAACCTATTCAATTAGGTTTGTAAACTGGAACCTCATACCATCATACCTATGAATTGAGCTTCCACTTGAGTTTTGCTGAAATTCTGAATATGGTTTTTTTTTTCTTTTTTTGGGGGAGGGGGGGGGATGGTTATTGTTGTTGTTGTATTTATTAATATCGGGCGGGTCCTGCCGCCTAGGACCTCCTATGGGGTACGGCGACGTGCTAAGTAGATGAACTAATTACATACAAAGTACTATCCAATCCAAAGTAAGATCCACGTTAGGGAAAAGCTCTTTTTCAGAGAGCTCCGAGTCTCTGATCCCGCGGTATCGCATAATCTTAATAACCCCCTAAAAACCGAGTCATACAAACTGTTTCGCCTACCAACTTCAATAGGTTTGAACCGGATGGACCCTAAGCATGGTAGTAAGTGTTCTCATACTCCAAGTAACTCCGAAATTTTGGAGTTGAATTGATTTGATTTAATCTCGCCACCACTACGGAAGTCCACCCTACGTTCCGTCTCTCCACGAACAACTGAGCATTTCTTACTTCAACCCAAGCCCAGAAGATACCCTGGAATAGACGTCAGCACCAGAACCACTCCATCCAAGGTAAGAACCTAGAACATACTCATCGCGGATGCCTCCCAGGATCCCAGAGCCGCCACCAGGCTTCTTGGTAGCAAAATCTGGTACAGAATCCGAGACGGAAGTGGTGTTCTACGCAGCATATATATGCATGATCAGCAAAGAGGTCCTCACGTACACCAGCGACCATCACAGTGGCAGGAGAAGAAGGTATCTATCTGCGTAGTGCGTACCATCTTCTTCGAGGGATCCTGAGGCGCATCAGAGTCCGCAGGCGTCTTCTCAGTGCCGGCGCCTCCTCGCTGAACAGCGCCGCTTCCGCTTTGACTGTTGGTATCGTTGGTGAAAGTATCCGTTGGTTTTTGCTTATCGGCAGAAGACATCTTGACGTCGAAAGTTTGTTTGGATGTGAGTGATGATGTTATGGAACGGGGTAAAAGGAGAAAGTGGGTGTTGGAGAAGGGGAGGTGTTGAAATATCAATGACGACAGGAGTTGCTCGGCTGATTGTTGGGTGATGTCAAAGGGACTGTGTTTACAATGGTGACTAATCAGGGGGAGGGGCTAACAATTAGCGAGCTGTAAACATTGGCACGTGATAAATTCAGGGGTGGATTTGTATGACGTATCAACGGTTTTGCGTTGCACCACAGCTCACGGGATTCATATTAGGATCACGCCGTTTGTATCTTTCGCAGGCTCTTCAAAATTTAAGTAAATTGGCTACAAAACTTCAAATCACTCATCGCGAACTGTATCTCGGCAGTATCCAACGTTGATTGCCGATAGAATGACCACCACCTGGATGAACCTCTGGGTTGCTCTCCTCTTAGGACTCTTCACCTCCTTCTTCTACGGCTATTTCACGACCAGCTCACCCCATTGCTCTGTCTCTGTCTCAAAAACAGCGTCCGAGTCCAACAGCTCCGACCAAGTCCCTGGCACTCGAACCGACCTGACAGCCCTCCAACAACACGTGCTCTTCTGGGACCGCGACAGCGACGCCATCATCTACCCTCACGATGTCTACACCGGCTTCCGAGAGATCGGATTCTCCATCCCCTTCTCCCTCACAGCGCTCCTGATCCCCGTCTTTTTCTCCTACCCGACCCGCCTCGGCCACAGCTACATTCCCGACCCCCTGTTCCGGATCTACGTCGACGACATCCACAAGGCCAAACACGGCTCCGATGCGGGCGTCTACGATCTGAAGGGCAACTTAAGGGCTGAGGCGTTCGATGAAATGTTTGCGGAATTCGATCCGGCAGGCACGGGCGGGTTGCACGCGAAGGATCTGTGGAGGATGGTGGGGCGGAATCGGGTGGCCGCTGATGTTGCTGGATGGAGCTTTGCCGCTATGGAATGGGGGACGACGTGGCTCCTGTTGCAGCGGGATAGGAGGGTGTGGAAGGAGGATTTGAGAGAGTGTTATGACGGGACGCTCTTCTGGAGGCTGAAAAGGGTGAATGAAGAGGGCAGTGAGTCGGGATTGGGTTATGGAGTGAAGGAATTCTGGCACGATGCATCAAATCTACTTCGAATTGAAAAGAATGTAGATTGATCGAGAACGGATAGTTTGTCTTCTGTTAGTCAGACAAAGGAATGACTTCAATCCTTTGCAAGGTGTGTGCATAACGTACCTTTTCCAGCAATTTCTGATGCCCGGAAAAGCTATCTTGAATGCATTGAAGAATGTAGTGGCTTAAGCTGCCCACATAGAGTGCGTCAAGGCCTTCATCTTCTCAGACTTCGCGTGCCATACGTCACCAATCTGTTTCGTTGATATCCCCTGATACAGCATCTTAGTTGCCAATAGTCTACCAGTTCACCCTGGAAATACTCACAAGGAAGGTCCTCATCCTCAATTTGTGCGCACAAAAAATGATTTTGCAACCCTTGATCCCAGTTTCCGGCCCGATACTTCCCTCCATTCTTACCGGCCAGATTGAGATTATTTACCAATAGATCGTCGATGTACGGAGCATTTATGGAAATTTCGTAGCGGAGTCGGAAGAAATACGAAGGTTGGAGCGAAAAAGCTTCCTTAACTACCTCCAATATCTCCGTGGTAATGTTGTCCAGTTGAATTGCTTTTGATCCTCTCTGCTTTTGAACGAGCCCACAAATAACACCATGAGCGGCATTCATGGCTAAGATGGAGACCATGCCATGCGCACATTTTGCGATCATTCGGAAATGACGATCCGGAATTTGGTGGAATATAGGTTCGTGGTGGGGGCCGACGACCCAGATCAAGCATTCCCGGAATAACAGTGCATTGTGAACTTAGCAGCAGCGACAATTAGTTATTTTGAATAGAACTGAATGTCTACAGCGAGTAGAGAATTGTTGATCAATGCGCTATCCAATGTTCGAGATAGGCTCCGGAGTGTGCAATAGTAATCGGCCAGAGCAACAGCTTTAAGCAGTTCTCGATGACCATTGATCATATATGGCTGGCTGTAGATTGCGCAGAGGATTATTTCAAAAGGCCCTGATCTCGATCGCAGGGTCTTCAGTAAAAAGATTTGGGTCCCTGGGTTCCTTCTTTAAAAGTGATTAGTAACTCTGTTCCCAGTTCCTCATGAGGGCAGTGAATAAGTGAGCCAAGGGCAATCATTGGCTCGTAGGGACTTACCTTGGAGCTCTTGCAGACCAAATGCCATTCTTTCTCTCCATCGACAACCGAAACCCAGTCGTACTTGATGCTTTCTCCCTTCATCACATCACAGGCTCCCTTGCTGACCTCATCGGCAGAGTCGAGAAAATTGCAGAAGAAAGTGCTGTGAAACTTACGCAAGTCCGAATGGACGAGGAATTCTTGATCGAAGACCACGATGCGAGGGTCGAGCTGGAAGTCGGGTGCAACGAAGACGACAGGAAACGTGGTATCATAGTGGTGTCCGATCCTCTGTTTCTTGTCGATCCTCTGTTTCTTTACTGCTCGTTGTGACAGTGGCATCTTGATAATTGCGCACACAACGGGTGGTAAGATTATTTGGGAAGAGGAGTTGCTATTATAAGAACTAATGCTCTCAAATTGAGTTTGTAAGTATACCTATAGTTGAGGTCATCGAGCTTTGCTAAATCGAGGAAGGCAACTCTATTGCATATCTATGTGCATTTACACTGGCAGGAGCCACCGCTGGGCCAGATTAGCGATTAGTATGATTTAGCATGTCGCGTCCAGTCTATAGATGAATGTCTATACCGAGACTGAAACGCATAACTCAGAATATTAATCCGTACAAGCGCTGCTTGCGTGAAGTATTTTTCTTCTTTTTTTTCTTGGCAGAATGGTCACAATTTGTTCCACAGAAGCCCTTTAAAGAGTCCTAGTCAACTAGCTTTCCAGAACAAAAGCGAGCTTTGATATCTCCAAATGGAGTTTATTTGCTGAAACCGTGAGTGTTGACCCATGGATCAAAGGCTTCCTAGTCTGTCTTCATGCGGTCCCCTAGACATACTCGGTCAGTATTGAACATTGAGTAGTTGCTTTGATAGTTATGAAGAGACTACTTACAAGGAACCTTGCTCATCTGGGGGACCAAGCCCTCCTGTTTCGAATTTGACACACGTGTGAGATATTGGCCGAGATTGTAGATGAGAAATTGATCGATGAAAGTTCGCGATGGCGTCGAATCAGGAAAGAGAATACTTGACATTTTCTGAATTATGAACTGGAATACTTCTTAGTTGAAGAATTCTGTAAGAGTGCGAGCTGAATCCGGTAGGCAATGGGCTGCGTTCGGTGTTAGAGGTACCTCGTCCTTTATCATATACAATTGATTCGCCCATCAGAGATTTTGAGCAGGCAAGCGGGCAATGAAGTTACTAGTGAAATCATTGTTCAAGTCATCCTCGGCAAAAAACAAACAAAATCAAAAGTGTACATAGGAAAGCAAACCTTCGCAAAGGACAAAGCTATATCGCTTGCGAAGCAATAGCCCTGGTGACATCTCACTTGAAAGTCATCAGGCCATCACCATTGCCTCGCACGATCGGGGTCATATGGTAAAAAACTCCATTGCAGAATTTGATTCTCTGCATAATACAAAGCCAAACCCGCCGTTCGTGTTCTGTTCCCCATGCCCCCGCCCAAATAAATACAAACATTCTGATGCCTGCCGTCTATGCCACCCAAATCCTCTTCAAGGCCTCCGTAACACCAACATCGTTTGTTTCAAACTCGTACAGGCCGACTCCACACAAGACCGTGCCAGCTCTCAACGTCCACCAAGCCAGCTTTCGGGTCTTGGGCAGACGGTGTGTGGGAATATAGTCGATTATGCAAGCTTCGAAACCGATGTGCGAGTGGATAAGTATTGAGCCGCAGAGGATGGCGTCCATGGTTGGATTCAACGATCCGGACGCAAATGGAGCTATCGTGAGGGGGATGAGACCGACTGAGACCAGGCGCTCAAAGGTCCAGTGGTAAGAGCCGTGTGATGGATTCGCGGGGGGCACGGGGGCTGGGTCGTTTGCTGGAATTCATTTCGATGCGATTAGCAGCTGTTGTCAAGTTCAAACGGCAACCGAGCAGGCTGGCATACCAGTTCCTTGAATGACCTCTGTTGTGGTGAATTAGCAAGTGTTCCACGGGGATACACAGGTTGATATGCCTACGGGGGAGAGGGGGGAGAATTGCCCGTCTGCCACTTGCGTGGAAAGCTGCTACTCGCATGGACACTGGGAGCGCATTGCGGGAGACAATCGAGGACGTCTTGTTGATGTTGATGGTGGGGGAATTGGTGGAGAGCTTCGTAGAAAAGGCGCGCTTTGTAGCCGCGGAGAGGCAAGTCTTTGGTAACATCGCGGATCGTGTAATTGAGGCCATCTTGACTGTCAGATCGGTGGGTGATATTCTTGAGGGAAGGTTCATGTTCAGGTCCAACCTCTAAAAGCCCCGGCTGTCTCGTCGGACACCCTCGGCAGAGAGGCGAGTGTGGAAACCTCAGGCAGCCGATTTCCCGACTTTCTTACGAAAACTATCGGGGGCAACATCATTGGCTGAAATCCACAAGCTTCAAGAAATCACATCGCCAGCTCCTTCACGACATATTTGAAGAAGACAAATCCTTTCTTCAACACCTCCTATCTCCCAACCTACCCAATTCCATGGCGTCCCGGCGGTTAGCTCTCAACCTCACCAAGGGGCTGCGCAACCGCGCTCCCCTCAACACAGTCTCGCAATTGAAGAGAGGATACGCCAGCCCGGTCGTGAAAAATGGCGTGAAGACCGAGTCGACCACACTGTCCAACGGACTGACGGTAAGGGTGACGGGAGGGCGAAATCTCTATCTGCAACTGCTGATCGAGGATAGATTGCCACCGAGCACTCGCCGTGGGCCCAGACGTCGACTGTCGGGGTATGGATTGATGCTGGATCTAGGGCAGAGACAGACAAGACGAACGGCACCGCCCACTTCTTGGAGCATCTTGCCTTCAAGGTACCACTCGATATATACCCCCATGGAGCAGAGGCAGGAACTGATGGTGGAACAGGGTACCAGCAACCGGACGCAACAGCAATTGGAGCTGGAGATAGAGAACATGGGTGGCCACTTGAACGCCTACACATCCGTATGTTGGAATCATCCGGAACAGCGTGGCAGGAGCTAATATACATCACAGCGCGAGAATACTGTCTACTACGCAAAGGCCTTCAATTCCGATGTCCCCGCGACAGTCAACATCCTTTCCGATATCCTCCTAAACTCCAAGCTCGAGACCTCGGCCATCAACCGGGAACGCGATGTTATCCTGCGGGAGTCAGAAGAGGTTGACAAGCAATTGGAGGAAGTTGTCTTTGACCACCTACATGCGACTGCTTTCCAAGGCCAACCTCTAGGACGTACCATCCTCGGCCCAGCCGAGAACATCCAAACCATTTCCCGAGACGACCTGACCAACTACATCAAGACCAACTACACTGCCGATCGTATGGTCCTGGTTGGTGCTGGTGGCATCCCTCACGCGCAACTCGTTGAGCTTGCCGAGAAGAACTTTTCCACTCTTGCGACGGCGCCTTACACAAGTTCCGCCGCATCGGTTGCTGCAGCCCAAAAGAAAAAGCCAGAATTCGTAGGCTCTGAGGTCCGGATCCGTGATGACACTATCCCGACTGCCAACATCGCCATCGCTGTGGAGGGTGTCAGCTGGAAGGATGATGATTACTTCACTGCTCTTGTCACCCAAGCAATCGTCGGAAATTGGGACAAGGCTATGGGTAATGCTCCTCACATGGGCAGCAAGCTCAGCGGTTTCATCCACAAGAACGACCTGGCCAACAGCTTCATGAGCTTTTCCACAAGCTACAGCGACACTGGGTAAGGACTCTGCACGTTTTGAATGTTCTTGAGCTAAATGGCATAGACTCTGGGGTATCTACCTTGTCACTGACAAGCTGACCACTATTGACGACCTTGTCCACTTCACACTTCGCGAATGGTCTCGCCTCTCCTATAACGTTACCGAGGCTGAAGTTGAGCGCGCCAAGGCTCAGCTGAAGGCATCCATCCTCCTGTCTCTTGACGGCACCACGGCAGTCGCGGAAGACATTGGACGCCAAATCATCACTACCGGCCGCCGCATGGGACCCGAGGAGATTGAGCGCGTTATCGGAGCCATCACGGAGAAGGACGTTATGGATTTTGCGCAAAGGAAGCTTTGGGATCAGGACATTGCTGTCAGCGCGGTCGGCAGCATCGAGGGTCTGCTGGATTACAACAGAATCAGAAATGACATGTCGAGAAACGCGTAGAGGTTAGATTTGGGGAGTGAATAGCGGGAGAGGGTTTAGAGTGTATAATGCGAGATGGGCGCAACGCACCTGTACACTATACAAAGTCAAAAACGTTTTCTATTTTCTATTTCTGTCATTTTTGGGAGCTACAAGCGAGCGGCGCAGACCGTTGAAGTGGCTAGAGGAGCTTATTTGCGGTCACAACGTATTTTCTACGAGCTACAGTTCTGGACAGTTTCAGTTAGCTCTGTACAATTCAGTTTTATACGCAGGCTGAAGTCAATGCCGATATTGCATTCATTTTCCAAGTGACCTAGGTACATACCTACATGCGGGTGGTATATACATAGACTATACACAGACATTCCATTTCAGAGGCTTATATTAGCATTTCATTAACTAACAACATAGAATCAGATATTATGACCTCTCCCTTCACCCTTCTCCCCTCCTCTCCCCCTCAAAAACGCATCGATTCAAGCAAGCGAGATCCCTCCCTCTCCCTCTCCAACCTCAATCCAAACTTACCACCCCTCAACAACCTTCAACCTCAACCTCATCCCGTTCTTCGGCTTCGACGTGATAACGCCCGCCGGCACCGGCACCTCGGCGGGATCAGCCATGGCGATATCGAAGCGGCCACAGAAGACAGCCAGCAGGGCCTTCAACTCGCTCCGGGCGAAGCGCTCCCCGATGCAGCTGCGCGGGCCGTGCAGGAAGGTCAGGTTGGCGTAGTTGCTCGCGACGCCGCCGTGGTTGTTCAGCCGGCCCGTGTCGGCGTCGATCCAGCGCTCGGGCGCGAAGTCGCCGGCAGTCGGGCCCCAGAGATGCGGCGAGCGGTTCACGCCCCAGGGCGTGAGGAAGACGCGCGTGCCCTGCGGCACGAACTGCGTGCCGATGTGGGTTGGGCGCACGGCGATTCGCATCGTTGTTGGGACGGTGGGGTAGAGGCGGATTACTTCGGAGGTGATGCCGTGGAGGTAGGGCAGATTTTCGAGGATCTAGGGAGGGAGGGGGAGGGGGTAGATGTTAGTTGAGGGATTGGTGGGGATGAGGAAGAAGGGGAGGGGGGGAGGAGATGGTACTTACGGATGCTGTGTCGATGGAGGGGTCCCAGGGTTCAGAGGGTGAGGGAAGGGCAGCGCGAATTTCCTCGCGGAGCTTGCTTTGGACGGAGGGATTAATGGCGAGGAGGTGCGTTGCCCATGTAAAGGCCGACGATGTGGTTTCGTGGCTGGGAGGTTTAGCGAGGTTCTCTCTTGTGATATGATACAATGCTTACCCGGCAGCGATAAACGTCAACAGTTGGTCGATGAGCATCTCGTCCGAGAAGTTGTTGGACTGGATCAACAGAGACAAGATGTTCACCGTCTGCTCCTTGTTGTCCGCAGCCAACGCTGCCTTCTTATCCGCCAGCAGTTGCTGGCACGCGCCTCTCAGCGCTCCCATGGTTTTCGACAACGTCTCATTCAGCTTCCACGGCAGCATCTTGACGAACCGAGGGGAGGTCATCAGGTTGGCGCCGAAGAACATCGCTTTCTCGGCCGTCGGCTCCAAGATCTCCTCGTAGTTGGCCACCAGCTCGTCGTCGGTGTTATGCAGCGAGTTGAAGTCGCGTCCCAGACCTGCCACGCCAATGATGTCCATCGTGACCTTGTTCGCCCAGTGGTTGACCTCCACCACGCCAGTCGGGTTTCCCGACGATTTCTCGCCAGCCACCGGCTCGGGGTGGTTTTTGATCTCGGCCGTGATCTCGTCCGCCATCTCGCGCGCCTTCTTCCAGAAGAGCGGGATCAGCTCTTTGATATGACGGAAGCTGAATGCCGGAGCGACGTTCTTGCGCTGGAATTTGTGCATGTCGCCTTCGACTATGATCAAGCCATCGCCGAGGATGATGCGCAGGAAGTTGCGCAATTCTGTGGGCTTCTCAAAGTCGTAGCTCTTGTGGACGAGAACTTCTGCGAGGGAAGAGGGTTCGGTGCAGAGGAGATTATCGGTGCCGAAGATTCCTGGGAAACTGATGAGACCTTCGTTTGGGATATCTACGATCCACTTGAGGAAGAGCTCTCCGATTTCTCTCCTTGTAATTAGTTGTTTGGGGCCAAGTCCGGGGATGATGCCAGACTATCGAGTTGTGAGCAGAGTTCAGTGGGTAGGTATAGAATGGACAGTGTGGGCAAACCTTTGGCTGAGGGAGATGCCGCAACGGGCTTGCGAAGTTGGGGTATATGAACAATTTCCAGATCGTCCATGATCCGAAGACTACCGCTGCTGTGAGGAGAAAGAATGTCGTGAGTTTAATCCCCGGGAAGAGGTCAGGGAGGAAAGTAGCTTTGAGCATGCAGATCGCAGCCGACGTCAACGTCAACAGCAAGGGAGTAGGTGGAGCCATCGCGAGGGATGTTTGCGCAGCAATAGGTAATCGAGATACAGAAATGGAAGCAGATGAAAGGATACTGAAGGCCAAACCAAAAGTATGTATATATATATAAAGAGTTGCACTACCGATCCACAAGACGCGGTCTGCCACCGAAGTCAGCGGCTGGCAGCGCTCGCATGCCAGCTTGTCACCGTTTCCATGGCTTTAGTTTCGTCTCAGCCTTGGATTTGCAATGTGTACTGGTTCTCTATCCCTGATCTGGACTGGTATCGTATTGCGTTGCGAGGGAAGTTTCGCGGCCGTCAAACATCCTGATTGCGGGGTTATTGGTTCAGACAGAGGCAGTGACAGCGAAAGAATAGATCGCATTGCTTGCCGAGATGGATCCATGCTTGGGCTGGAGCTCTTTCGCTATTTCCATAACAACACCTGTTATATTACGAATATGTATTACCACGATGAGTTGTCCACTAATGGAGAGCCGATGGAGAGCCGAGGTTCGTTCATGCATGGATGGTGTAGTCCACGTCTCACCTCGGTAATGTATTTATAGTCGAAGCGAGACGCTAGCCTTGCGGTGGGAAGTCTATTGAGACGACATCGAGCCGGAAAGCCGAACAAACAGGAAACATCAGATGAGTCTGAGGACCTTTGCAATAACTACCTATTTACCCTTCAATATTTCTACCTATATATCATGGCATGTTATCGTCTCTTTCTTTACTACCGTTCTCCCTGCCCCCCCCCCCCCCGGCTCAACAGTCCTCCGCCAATAGTCCTCAAAATATGACCCATCGCGGGCGAAACCTGGCACAGGAACTTAATTACCGGTCAAATCGAGCACTTATGCCATTTTCAGCACGAATGTCAATTAAGCTCCCGTTCCAGTGCAAGCTCTAGGCCAACCACAAGTCTCGAGCCACTAGAGGATGCAAGCGCTATAAGCTTTTAGCTGACTTAAACCTCGGGCCATCAGTACAATCCGTAGCAATTCAGAGGCCAGACGGGTCCGCATCTAGAATTTTCTACGGCAATTTCGAATACGAAAATCCGTCAATAATCTATTGTGACTGGAATAACGACCTCGTGACCCTTCTTCGCTCACCTGGCAGAGATCATTGTCAAAAGGTAAATCAAGACCGCTGTCCTCTAGTCAATCTCATGGTTGAGAGTCCTTGAACGCTGTCCTTGGTGATTCTTTCCAGCGAGTTCATGTTGTATCGCTACTAGCCCCGTTCCTTACTGACAACGTGAAAGCGGTTGCTATCACTTGTAAGCCGTGATATGGAGGACAGAGATACAAGGAAGCTAAGGAGAACCCATCCCGGGCTCAAAAAATTATCTCCAAAATTACTGATCTGCTGGCAGCGATAGACGAAATGTGGTTTTGAACATAACCCACGTTGTCTGGTCACCAAGAAGGCAGTTCGAGATGGAATAGGGACCCATAGCTCACTTTAAATGCCATGATCATTCCGAGTTTACACGCTCATAGATGTGTTTCGCTGTGGAGACCAACAGAACACGGGGGCACTTGCCCTGGAGACTTTGGATTGCGTCCTCTTAATATATACTAGTCTTACGACTTCAGCCGCTCAAGCAAGACTCGGCCAATATTTATATCTACACAGCCGCCAATCGAAATACGCATGTAATTACCCAAGGCGGGAGTACATAAACACCGGTAGTGCGATTGGGGTCAATTTCTTGTGCAGAATCTGTAAATATTTAGTCTGATGAACGAACCAGGCAAAAATTCATGGCTCGAAACCTCAGCACATCAAACAGGCGACTAGGAGATAAAAAAAGCGGTCTGTTGCTCATCTCAAGGCGTGGAATTTAGCTGGAGTCGGTCACTGGCCCATTGAGTTGGAAGCCACTGTATTGGAACGGCTGTCTGTCATGCTACAATCATGGTCTAGCCATTTTCTGCACAGCTGATGTGGTGACTGGGCTCGGGAAATTCTCGTATCTTTCTGCTTCCAACTGAGTTTCCACCATTCTGAGAGCACGGCTGTACAACTTCATCGATATAGAGTGTTGGTATTCGGTGTTTGGTGCGATACCAGCGAATTAGATCGTGAGAGCCTCGTGTCGTTTATCTCACGCTACCCGGCATCACCGTCCAAATTCAGACCGGAAAATTTACGCATCAGCCAATCACCAAACAAAAAGGAGCCACCGCCTCTAAACTGCGTCCTCAGTCCAACACAAACCAACACATCCACAAAACCAATTTCAAACGAAGACCAAATCAACCTCTCACAATGCCACCTCAACTCACCGCCAGCAACCTCTTGCTCCTAGAGCTCCATCCCACGCTCCCATCTCCCTCCGCAGTCGTCGATCCCACCAAGCCGTGCGACACGACCTTCGTCGGCGTCAAAGTTGAAGACATCAAAGCCGAATGCCGCCGAGTCAAGATGCGAGACAGTGGCTCGCGCTTCGACAGCGTCCGCTACCTCCTGAACGACCACCTCAACGCGCTCCAGGCGGAGCTAGACGCGTGCCGCAGCGGAACACTGGAGGAGGCAAAGGCCTACTGGACAATCCGCATCTTCCACGTCTATGCCATGATGGAAAAGACACTGGCGGATGGCGGCGAGGAGTTGGCGCGCTTGGTACTGGCGTGCGGACCGTACGATAAGAGCGCTGAGAATTCCATCCGGGTTATGAAGTGGTTGCTGTTGGGCGTGGAGGCGAAGATGGCGGGGGATTCTGTGGCTTGAGAGTGGCCCTTGGGACGCTGCTGGTGTGGGCTTGCCGCGGGGATCTGAGGTTGGGGAGTCTATGGTCTGCGATTGAGTGAGCTTGAGCATCGGATCAACACGGCTCTGTTAAACTCGTTTTCGCCCCAGCCTCTCTGCCCTCGATAAATGTCTTCATCGCAGTAGGTGATCTTCCGCTAGTCATGGCAGAATTCAGAAACATTTATCATCTCCCGAGCCATAGTCAAGTTTGAAGTTAGTGATTCACGATGAAATCCGAACTATAGGAATCTGCCATGTTGGATTCCATCTTCGTCCACCGTCAACAACTCAAGTCGCGAGTTAAATTATGAAGTGCAAGATTCTGCTCCCGCGAATTTTTCTCTTAGTAACCTTTATCTTTGAGAATCTGGCTTTGTAATGGAAAAGTTATAACAGGATTGGTTATTGGTTTGTGTTTACTTGTTTGTTTACATTTAGATGCTAACCGAGGAGGCCTGCTAACCGAAGAGGCCTGCTAACCGAGGAGGCCTGTTAACCGAGGAGGAGGCCTGCTAACCGAGGGTTTAGCGGACTCTTTTTTGGAGGGGTTTTTTCATGGACGGGGTAAGAAGTGAAAAACCTCGAATCTCGGGCTTATTGGATTATAATATCTGTTATTTTATGTGCATAAGATTGAGAAAGGGTGCGATTTCATTTTTGTCTATTCGGTATGCTGTCCGCGAGGTCGATTGTATGTTTAGATTGATTAGTAGGGGCTAGGTATTTATGTCAACTCGAGGCTGCTGGAGAAAAAATATCAATTGGTAATATGATTCTTCATCTGCTTATTGAATGAGTTCAGGTGCTTCATGTAAAAGGCTCTGGACGCAACACATGTTTTTAATTGTATCTGTTTTCTTATATACAGTAGAAGACTGAGACTCCTGTATCCGTATCCTTACACATCGCTCCAGTTACAAAACTTGTCGTCCACGATTCCAGGCGACACGGCTCCGCCTCTCCTTCGGATACGGAACATGGGTATAGCCCAGATGCACCTCCTCGAGAACCTCCTTCTCCGGCTTCTTCCAGTTGAACAGCTTCACATCGATCACGTTCTTGTCAAAGAAAACGCCCCTCAAGACTTCGTCGTAGATAACCTCGTAGCAGTCGCTCAGCGCCACGTGGCCTTCCACCGTGTCTTCGAAGACCAGATAGTAGCCGGATTTGTCGGCGTGAGCCTGGGGTACGCTTCGGTACTCAGCTTTTAAACGTCTGTTTGTATCGTTAGCGAGGCGTAGCGGCGAAGGGGCAGGGGGGTGGAAAGAGAGGGAAGGGAGGAAGGAAGGAAGGAATATGTATTATTAGATAGATATCGTTGAGATGATCAGATGATTTGAAGAGTGGGGGAAGAGAGAGAATGGGCTCGTGGAATATACGTACGCTACATAATCTCCTCGGATCTTGTTCGTGTCTGCACAGGCAAGAAATACATAGCCAGTACTTTCAAGGCTGAATGGCACCGGGAGGCTTTCGATGAGGTCAGACTTTGGTCCCGAGCCTGGTACGTGGACTGGGCTGGTATAGGTGGCAGAGTTGGACTGCAGAGAGCGTTCCGCGGTTCTGGATTCGGTGTTCGAGGGGTGTTGGGCAGGTGCGGTAGACTTAGCGATGTTATCGTTCATCACCTCCACCACAGCAAGACCCTTGGCTGTCAAGGAACCGCTCTTCAGCTTAGTTCCGGGCTCTGATGAGGCTGCAGACTTTCGGCTTTGAGGCTTGCGGGATGTCAAGGTGGTGGCAGGTTGAGGCATGGCAGCTTCTTTCTTCGAAGGGTGTAAATTTTGGCCGGCGTAGCCACCGACTTTGTGGGATATCTCAGCTTCTCTATCCCTGGTACTATCGAAGATGTCCTTTGCAGTAGTGTAGGATTTTGTGCGCTCAATTTCCAACATGCCCTCGTAGTAGTTCTGCCATGCCTTGCTCATGATACTTTGGCAATGGTAATCAAACTTGGCGTCTGCATCAACCCTCGCATTCTCAATCGACCCGTCAGGATCGTTCTCTTTGGTGAAACAGTCGGTCGGCCCGCAGTACTCGTGCTTCGAAATGTCGTCCATCACCACTCGTTGCACAAGAACGGCGACATGTCCGCTTTTAGAAAGACCGCGCTTCTCGCACTCGAGCTCCAACTCGTTTTTGGACCAGGTATCGTATGAACCGGTCCCAGCTCTTTCTGAGCTTCCGGAAGGCATCTTTGCGGTGTGAGGAGTGTGATGTGATCTTTCTGCTTCGTGGTGATGTCGTGGTAATGTCGTAGTGATTGCGTGTTTTGTGTTTTGATTTTGTAAACAAGCGCGGGGGCAGTGGATCGGTGGTCAATCGCTTAGCGTGGTTTTCTAATGGGTTTATTGATTGACTCCAGGATTGACACCTTGGTAACAGAATTTAGAAGCCTCAAGCAACAGAAAGTTTACCTGTGAAATTCGAGGATTTGTAGCTGTACGAAACCGAAGATAAAAGAAGGCTGTGATATTGGAGTGGATCCTTGAAAGGAACGAGTCAATAACTTTGAGCTTCAGGATTTCTCCGGATTTGAAAAAGTCAATTTGGAACAATGTCGGAGATGAGGGAAGAGCATGCCGCGATATAGAGATACTGCGTTTTTGAAACTCTTCGTTGCGTAGTCCAGGTCTATTTATTAACCATAACTCCTGCAATACAAGAAACATGCTATCTAAGTACGCCACTGACCTCTCTCCCAGACCATCGAGTCTGTTTGTGCCACCCCTTGCCCTCTACTCAGAGCCAACTGTAGCATAGGCGGCCTCTCAAGCTCGACACCACTCACATCGAGCTCCCCCTTCCCCTGCCAATCCCTCAAAAACTGTACCGTATCCTCCGCAGTATCATCTTTGTACGTCTCGGCCCAGCTCTTGAAGAAAGCCCAGCACCCCTTGAAGTTGTCCCACGCGTTCTCGTTCGCGTTCAATAGTAGAATGTGCTCGGGAGTTGGGGCTTCGATCCAAACCACCATAAGACCGTGCTGCACACGCTGGAACATGACCCGGGCGACGGGACGGAAATAGTCGCGGATCTCCTTGAAGTATTCCTGGCCTTTGCCACAGAAGGCGTAGAAGCCGTTGATGGCGGTGCAGACGATGGCGTAGTGGGGGAGTCCTTCGTTGAGAAGTCAGTCTTGGTCTGGTGAACGAGGGTGGGGTTTGGGAGACCGTGTAGTAAGGGAGGTATGGTTACTCACCTGTTGCTTCATCCCAGCCATGGAAAGGCACGTAGGATAGTCCCTTGTATCTCAATATTGCAGCTCGTATCTCGTTTTGCTGCGACTTTTCATCAACGGGAAGTGGCATATCGGGACGATGATTAGCAGTCGGAAAGGGCGGAGGCCCATCAGTGAGTACGAGTACACCGAAAGAGGAAGGACCTGGCACGCCATGGGGTAATCTGGTCTTGGTTGGAAAACTGCCAGGAAATGGCTGACCCGGCCCTGGAGGAAAAGGTTAGCAAGCGGGCTGAGAGTGGCACGGGATATTAAACGACTGACAGTGCTTGCCCCAGACCCAGTACTCGAGTATGTACTGCTGAATGGCCTGATCGGAGTCTCTGTATCTCTCGTCGGTGAGGACTCGATCTCGGGTCTTCCTGACTGACCCCCAAAGATTAGCCTGCTCGAAAGTCATGCCGCGGTCATCGGTCTTCAATTCAGCCTCTCCTTGAGCTAGGTTCCACATGAATGGCAGCAGAGAATCGTATTCGTAAAAGTAGTTCCCTGGTGAAGCCATAATGGGCGAGGATTGTGCAGCTTAGGATACAGCAAGGCTGTAGACAAGGAAGCAAGTGTTGCTGGTCGAAGCCGGGAGAAGTGATGTGAAAGCTTGTTGACGGATAGCCCTAGGAGCGAGAAAGTCAAAGCAAGGAGGCTGGAATTGGTGAGAGCCAAAGTGCTAAACGATTGCCTGTCTACAGTAAAGGTGAGAGCTTTGACTCTTGATTCCTTGCTATTATTCTCTGTCTTTGTCACAGATTCAGTCATATTTACTATCTGCTTCCACTGAGATTTATCCTTACGCATCATACAGACTTCAGAATTAAACAGGGCCTAATTTACTAGGCTACCAATTATCTATATCCAACTGCACATTATGCAAATCTGCTGCTCCCACAGCTGAGAAAATCACCATCCGAATAATATCATATTCTTGCCGGGTACTGGCTCGATATTGGACATCCATCCGCCGCACCCCGGTGAAACGATCATTTCAGCAGGTCTAGTTTGACAATTCTCCACAACAGGAGGCCTTCCTATCTGACGCGAAAATGAATCAAGCACCAGTCCGACATGCCAGCTTTCCTACGCGCGGTAGACAACTTCGCAGTCTCCTAAAGCTCAAGGTAGCCCCTCTGGAGGGTGCGGCATACCAACGAGCGCGTGAGCAGAGATAAGTGCCAGGGCTGTAAGTAAATAAAGGGAAGCCTTTGCCCCATGGACATCATACGGAGGATATGTATGGCTATAGTTGTGAGGGAGATCAAAAAACTCTCACTATTAGATATGAAATACAAAGAATATCCCCCCAAAAATTGAAAAAACAATGAGAAAGAAAAATACAGAATTTTGGCAAAACTCAACTGGAAACTCAATCCATGGGAATGGGATTAAGAGGTTCCAGTTTACAAACCTAATTGAATAGGTTTTTCGTTGTTATCAACAGGTGTACTTGGAAGCGGCCAGCGGCTCATAGCCACTAAACCACCATGCCATTCCTCGCTGTTGATGGAAGTGCTTGAGAACTTAGCTTCTATAAAGTAGATAATTTTTTTTTCTACGCATCATATCTTGCGGCACCATAAATTCACGGCCCCACCGCGCATATCTTTACAGTCTAGTTGCGCAACATATGCTGTAGTGTTCCACACGGAGAAGGAAAGCAAAGAAAGCAAGGTAGTGGTAGATTTCCAAAGTTCTCGGTTTTTTCCAACGAGTTGATAAACCCCATTTCCTTCTCACAAGCGAGGCGCTACTGTCTTGGCATGTTGACTCCCCCGAATGGGACTCGATAAAGATTATCGTCATCAATTGTTATCATACTACGATTCTGAATTCTGGAATGCGTTGGAATGAATGTGGGTATAATGCAGTTAACCTTATATATTTCTTCTACTTTCCTGATTTCACTTTCCTGATTCTTAAATAATCGCGACGGCCGTCTGCCGAACCACAAACCCCGCGAAGTATAGAAGAACATATAAGAAGAGAGCACTTAAAAAAAAGGTGCTAAGATTTTTAACAAAAAGCTAAAAACACATACCAATATGCCACATCATTAAAGATAGAACTTGTTGTATTCCAAAGGATAACTAACGCCTTTAGTATATGATACGAAATGGAATTGTCCCCGAAGCATACAGCTTCCTCAAGGCACTTCTCAGCAAACCGGCCGACCTTCAGACCTTCCTAACCACTGCGGAATTCTACTCTAAGCACTCCACTCGCTGAGTGCTACCTGGTTGCTTACTCTTACTGTTCCCGTAGGGAGGACAGGTTTCTGCCCCGCCCTACGTGGACTGTAAGGGTCAACACCATACATGCGGGCTATGTTCTCTTGAGCAGCGTGGTGCCTTCTCGAGGGAACTCATTCTAATATTATTAGATAAAGATATGTTGCGTTTGATTTTGGAGTTTTGAACTCAGTTTCTTTTGGCTTTTAGGACGTTCCTTCTTTTGTGTACCACCGTGTGCACCCATAGCTGACACCGGTCCGGCCTCGAAACGCGTCGATTTGCGACTATGACACGGCTACGCTTCTAAGCTAGCCACGGCAGTATCTGCCTTGCTAGTTTAGTTTTCCTTAACGAAAGGATTTTCATTCATTGTGATACATCCTATTTGTAAAGGAAGGGCGCAACTGATAGCAGCTCTCGCTATACCACTTTGAAATGCTTTCTAGGGCCTTCTTATATGAAACTCCTTAGCTTAGCACGTCGCCGTACCCTGTGGGAGGTCCCAGGGCTCCGCCTACCACCCGTACGATGTTCGACGCGGGCCGCTCTTCTAATCATGTCGATCGTCGCACACACCCAAACTTCCTTGTGATCCATCCTATCTGTAGGGGAAGGGCGCACACGACAGTAGCCCTCGCTACAGCACTTTGAATTGCTTTCTAGGGCCTTCTTTTATGTAACACCTTAGCTTAGCACGTCGACCATGGGAGGTCCCAGGGCGGCAGGCTTCGCCTGCTACCCGCCTGACGTTAATAAATACAACAACAACAACAACAACAACAACAACAACAACAACAACAACAACAACAACAACAACAACAACAACAACAACAACAACAACACCCAAACTCCCGGTGCAAATTGGAAAAAGCGGGCGTTATGATCTCCGGCAAAAGACAAAATCAAAACAAAAACATACAACAGCAGGTATTCGCTGGTGGTCACCCACCCAACTACTAATCTGCCGATCTGAGGCTTGTGTATGGCAGAGCGAACGGGATGCCCAATTCTCCTCAGTCTATGGTCATATGTGGCAGAGGAGGGTGTATGTGAATAGATATAGGGTTAGAGAAAGTGGCGAGCCAGAATTGCTCTAGTGGCTGCCCACTTCTGCAAGCTTTTGCATATCCCTAAAACGCGAGGCCTCTCGACGCGCTTACGAGCAACGAACACAAATATGTGTCTCCTCATCCTCCTCATCCCATACGCACAACCCAGCTGCGTCCACATCGCCAAGACAGGCTGATGGACCTGCACCCATGCCAAAGAAAAGACTTACGGGGTCAGGAAGAATGCCCATACTTTGGTTCAACCTCACGACGCAGGAGGCTGCAGAGCAAGAAAGGCTTCAAGACATGGGTTGAAGATTAGCATAGGGTTTTCGATGACTGACTCTCTTTTTACCCTCTCATACGCATTCTGCGTCGCCGTAAGATGGAAAGCGTAGAGGGTGCATGAAGAGCTGGCCAGTCACAAAACATGGATCAAAATCCGTACATTTCGCCAAAGCAGAGATTCAAATACAACAAGCCAAGTGCATTGTACGTAGCTAGACTACGCAATAAACCACCTCCTGAGGTGCAGTGGGATGAACGACGCAAAAACAAAAAAAACACACCGACAGAACGGCAGCAGGATCTTCTTCGCGAGAGAGTGAGAACAAAGCGCCTGGGTATCGAGTGAATAAAGATGCGAGAGCAGATGGAGCCCTGCATTGCCAACCCGCATTCCCTCCAAAAAAAATTCCTTTCGCTAGCTACGTAAAAATGGCAACCGCCCGAGAATCTCTTTCAGTTGAGTACAACAATGTCACCATCGTCGTCAGAATCCTCAGTCAAGTCTATGGTCAAGATCTCATCAAACTTCACCTTCTTCGGTGCATTTTCTTCCTCAAGCTTGATGCCGCGTTCCCTCTTCATAGAAGAGCCGATAGAAGGGCCAACATGTGACTGCAAGGCATTTTGACGACCGTTAGAGGTTGGGGAAGGGGACTCCAAAATGATTGGTGGCTCTGGGGATGGCGTTCTCGGGACGATCAATAGACTTTTGAGGGCAGCTGTAGGAAGTTCAGCTTGGTTTAAACAGGGTAGCAGATGGGTTTTAATATACCAATTGAGCGATATTTGAATCGACAGATGGCTCGAGGATATTCCTTTCCATCTATCATCTTGCTGGCACTGTAATTCAGCGGCGCCAGTTCTTTGGCAGGTCCAAGGCTAGAGAATTGAGTTAGTAGATTATCAGAGGACTAGTGATAAAAATATTACGATGTAGTATGTGACTTTGCTTGCCCTTTAAGGGATTTCTCATGGACCTTGGCAGGCGCGTGGGTTCTTATCGCCGATGCCTGAGATATGGCAGCTGATACTTCTCCGCCTCTATGCACGAGAATTTTTATTTCTCCAGCCTCTTTCATGAATCTCGAGTCTTCCGCGACGTCTTTGAGCATGTCTTCGTCCAGAGCTGACAGAATTAGGATACGTTCTATGTGCATGTAAGGAGTAAGGAGCTTACTTGTCTCGATCCTTGAGAACCTGAAGCTTCTGAGAAAATCGCGACCAGGTATACCGGGAGCTGGCTGAATTGTACCGCAGATGTCGAAAGACAACGGGCGAATAAGTTGTCCAGCAGAAAAATAGGAAGCATAAAAGCTCTGGGCGACGACAGCCCCGTACATCCATTGGCCGTCAATGAATACCTCGAAATGGTAGGCAGGACAATCCATTCTGAAGGTAGTATCAAGTGATACTTTGACAACGAAGTCTTTATCCGAGGTAGACTCGATGTACTTCGATGTAGTTCTCGAGGCCTGATGTTCCCCACCCAGGCCCGGCTGGACTTCCACGTCCTCATCGTCATCATATTCGTGAAGCACCGTGCCATCGATGCAAACGGCTATCGTGAGGCCGGGCACCCACGGGGTGACCGCCATTATTAAGAAAGAGGTTACCGAGGGTTGCCGCGCAACGTCGACGAGCCTTAGAGATGGAGAGGAAGCCTCGGGTTCGAGTCTTCCTCGCAAACGTGTTAGTCGGTTTGAAAGTAAATAGCAAACGTGCGCAGATTTCGTATAGTCATGAAATGCATGCGAATGCACTATGGACTATGTACATGGAACATGTACATGGAGGGAAAGGAGCCGTGCTGTGCAGCTGGGATGCGACTTCAAAGCTTACCCAGTGCTACATACGCACCAGTCCTGCAACCGCCGACCCTGCGAAGAACTTGCACTCCAAGAGAATGACTGGTCCTAGCGAGGTCACACTGGTAGGTCTATGGTATTGAGGCACGTCTCGATGGTGAAGGCGACAAAGTTTTGCGATGATCCCTCAAGATAAGAAAGTTTGGCGCCTAGAAACCCGCGCTTTTGTAGACGCCATATCACGTGAGCATTTGGCGGGCTCGGCATAACTTTCGACCGAGCCCTTTAACCTTCACTTCAATAAGGATCAGACAGGCAGCAACTGATATGAAACGGAGTTGAATTGAAAGCCGTCATCTGTATTGCCGCATAAAGGTAAGCAAAGCCACCAGACAGCGAAAGAAAGCAAGACATGGCGGCGACCAGAGCATTCGACATCATATATGCCAGACTCCTTGTTAGCGAAGTCATGATCACCACCGATCTCCAGATACTCAAAACAAGTGTGCAGTACATAGGCCAGCTGCCGGTATGGATAGACATGGAATAAAATCGAGCAGTCAAGTCCTAGATACTCCAACGACAGTGTATCTCTCTCCCTCGCACCGACTCTCAAGCCTCCGCATCTACTCTCCTTCGAGCTTTGACTCCATAGGCATTCCTATCAGCGAACGAACCGTTCTCGACATCAGTCCCGATCAAGCAGTAACAGTTCTCTAACCCTGTGTCTCGTTCGTCAGATTCTTCGAACAACAGGAAGTAACCTGACCAATCGGCCCGGACTTTCTTTACGGAGAAAGTTGTATATGTAGCCTCCATGTCTGCGAGTTTGTCCCTCCGAATTTTGTTCTTGTTGCGGACGAGGAGATTCAGATATCCGGTGTTTCTGAGAGTACCCTTGATAGATTTCTTCTCATTCTGTCGGCTAGGATATCGCCTTTGACTTCGACGTCGCCTCGCTTAAGTCCTCGCTCAAGTTTTGATATACTTACTGCCCGAGTATTCTTCGCGCGGCGGATGACTTGAATGCCGGGATGTCGCCGAAGTTTTTATTGCTTTATCTGACTCTATAATGAGTTCATGAGCAGTTAAGTGCAAGCGATTTGGTTGTGTAGCATTTCATCTGATATCAATTGGTATAGTAGTTCTATCTCTGATCAATTTCCTCAAGACATCATCATCCTCCCGGGTATGGCAGGCTCGTACTTCAGCAGGCGCGTCTGTTTCTTAACTTTCTTTTTCTTTTTCTTTTTCTTTCTTCTCTCTCTGGAGTTTTGATATATTGCCCGAGTATTGTTTAACCGGCCGATGACTTGACCGGACTGTCATCGGATTTTTCTATAGCTACAAATAAATTTACGACAGCTTTGGAAGCAGTTAAGTACCAGCAAAAACTTGGTGATGTCCCCGGATGCACGGTCACGACACGTGACCGAGCCAAGGCCAGCTATTCCCGCTCCTTCCATTTTCGACCATAATGGTCCCTCATAGTCCGACAGATACTACTTACTGCCGGTGCGCTGAAGAGACAATGGATGTATCAAGAGACGAGGAGGAGACTGGAGTCTTATCAATGGACTGGCTAACCTCGATAGACTTAGCCCCCCTGAGAACAACACTAAGAAGCTTCGAGGTATGAAGCTCTGAGACGTGAAGCAGAAGGAACTTTCCAGTTGCCATTTTCTGCCTCAAATGTGCATAGCGAGCAAGTCAAGGAAGAGTCGTTCTATCTCTGCTAAAGGTACTTGTTATGAGCTCCTGCCTCTCGGCCCCCCATTGAAGGTCACAGTCGCATGCTCGCACCTTCCGCTGTGCTATATCTTCATTAGCCGCATTATCGACTGTATCTGACTACCTTATAAGAGAGCAAAATCTACATCGCAACTCTTGCTCGTCATCCAGTTATCGCTACAGTATCACTTTTCACAGCTCTTACTTATCTGTCCCGTCACTCGCCCTCTCTCACCGTCACATCTAGAGTTACGCCAACGCAAGCAATGGCGATCCACGATGATATTCCCGGTCTAGAAGTCGTACTTTGTATGCCGGGTACAGATATTCTAGAAGAGAGCGAGTTAGAGAACGAGCCGCACCCGCTCCTCGGGATACAATCACTGGCCGCAGCAGATATCCAATACCAGAGAACGGTGACACGACAAGTGGAAGGGGAACCCGGAGAGATATTTTCCATCAGGATTACGCTGGAGCCGGACTTTGTGTTTGATGGCCGTGTTCTGGTATTCGTTGTATCCGTCGATGGCCAGACAATCGGGCAGCATCCGCATCTATCGCGAGAGTATTTCATGTCTTGCATAGCCAATGAGATTTCCTGCGCACACTTGTTCATGGCACCTGAATTTAGATTCAGTCATGCCGAGCGTTCCAGTGAGTTCTGAAATGATGTGCGACTTTCTCCGAATGGCTAATCTCTGGCAGTTCTGTCAAGCCAACCTAGCGGCAGCATCGTCGTCAGAGTCTACCACAAAAGGACATTCGATGGAATACGGAAGAGAAATCAAGGATCAAAAGGATCCATTTCCCCTCAGAAATTTTTGCAGGGTGGAAATTGCCGCTCCGCATTATCAAGGTGGATCAGACTCTTCAGACGCGGATCACGGAGCTGATACATAGCTAGTCCACTGTCGGATTGCGCCTCAGGAGGGGGCAACGAGCCGATCGAACTCATTGACGATTCAGGCATTCCTCACGCCATATTCCACTTCAAATATTCCCGTGGGTCAACCCCACTAGCAGGCCCCCACTAGCTGGCCCCGGACAACGGACATCACTGACAGCTTGCTTCGTAGGCACGACTAGCATGCTCACTTTAACTGGCTTGGAAGACCTCACAGCCAGCCAGACCAAGCGGGTCATGAAACTACTGGCGGACAATCGTGGTGTAAGATTGCCCTGTGGGCCATGATACCTGACCACTTTTGGCTAATTTGATATGCAGTGCGCAGACTGTGGCAAGTCTGAGGCCAAGAACGATGTATGAAGTCCCATCCAACACCACCTGTGACTCTGACTGACTTGAAGGCACAGATCGAACACACGCGTCCAGATGCTCCCGCTAAACGCCGCAACAGTGAGGATTCGGAGCTCTGTAGTCCGACGAAGAAGATCCAGACCAGGGCTAACACCCCTGAGGTCGACTCAGAAAAGATGAGGAGGACACCAAGCGATTCCTGAGTGATGAGGCAGTCTTTTCAACCAAGCATGATGCTGGGGTCCATTCTGATCGATGCTGAGGCTTGGTTGCTGTACATGACCGTCGTAAGGGGAACGTGCTGTCTGCCTCGGCAGTTTTATTGATATTGAAAAGAGACCTCAGTTCGTTTTAAAACCAGTAACTTTGGGAACTTTTGGAGCGCGGGAGTGCAAACACTTGACAGCTGATAGGGCTAGGCGAGAGTAGCGGTTAAGCAGGCAAGTTAATCAAGTCAAGCAAGTCAAGCAAGTCAAGCAAGTCAAGCAAGTCAAGCAAGTCAAGCAAGTCAAGCAAGTCAAGCAAGCCGTTCAACTCAAGCAAGCCATTCAACTCAAGCAAGCCATTCAACTCAAGCAAGTCAATAAAGTGATTACAATAATCCAAGCCACATCACCACTCCGCTTCCTATCCCGCTTGTATCCCCAGTAACTACAGCTACACCAGGTACGTTTTCCCCTTTCCCATTTCCCATTCGCATTCCCCCTTCCCCTCCCCCACGTCAAGCGGCACAAGCAACGCCAACCCCAACTGAACATAAAATCTATACCCACTCACCACACGAAACCGGACGCCTATTCCCCACCTGCATCAAACAGACGCCTGCCTGGTGCACCTTGTGGTCGTAACTTACTGGCTAGCTAGCTAGGTAAGTAACTAACTAAGTAGCTAGCTAACTAAGTAACTAACTAGCTAACTAATGATTTAAACCCCCCACCCCCCGCGGCGTCTCTCTCTCCCCTTCTCTCTCCACCTCTTTACATCCGCAACGATTAGCGATTAGCGATTAGCGATCAGATAGATGAAGGAAGAAGGAAGTGTGGTGTGGTGTGGTGGGATGGATGGGTTGATTATACCGGTATTATATCTTTATTGTGTTCTATTCTGGTCTATTCTGGTTTTTTGAGGGGTTGGGTTGGGTTGGTGGTGATGATGGTGATGATGATGGTGGTGGTGTTGTATAGGATGGGATGGGGGGGGGGATGGGATGGGATGGGAGATGGGAGATGATGTAGTAGTGAGTGGAGTGAGTGGGGAAGCATAAAAATAAGTAAATAAGTAAATAGATAGGTAGATAAATAAACAAATAAAGAAATAAAGAAATAAATAAAGAAAGAGCAAGCAAGCAAGCGCCTTTTTCGCACGCCTACCATAAAGGGTAGTAGGGGGTCATTTGAACGGTCCTCTGATCCTCTTTTATAAGAGACGGCTATTGGACCGCTTAAATTCAGTACTAAGCTCTTTTCAAGAATAGTTTATAGAAAAGACCGTCCCATTGAAAGAGACCGTTTTGTGGCCGTCCTATAGCCGTCCTCGTCTATATTTTTAAAACAGGCTTATTAATAAGCTCGTTTTAAAAAATTGAAATAGTTCGATGACCATTTTCAAGAAGATATAGTTATAAATAAAAAATTATCTTTTGAATGAAATTGTTTTAATAATAATTTAAGAAGTTCGACGCCAAGATATTTCTCGGTATCGCTACCACGGCTTGTATATCAACGCTTTAATTTTTTTATTATCGAAATCGATCGATTTAGCAAAAGTTCACCCGCGTAGAATTACCCCTCTTGCAGCTATCGCGCAAAAGGGGTAGTGGTATGATAGGGGGGTGTAACTAATGCTTAAGGTAGTAAAGGGTAGATTAGCAAGCAATAAAAAGAGTATTTGCTTACTAATTCAAGTTCTCAAGGACGGTTTTAAGCTCAAGGACGGCCATAGGACGGCTATAGGATGGTCTTAAAACGCTCGAAGACGGTCCCAAGACGGTTTTTACACGAAAAGACGAGTATTTAAAAAAAAACGATTTAATCGAATAAAATAGTTTTATTTTAGCTACGATTTAAATAATTTAAATCGTTTGTTTTCAAATTCTATTCAATCTTAAGTATAGGCCTAAGGTGATCCACCAGCCATGCCAACTTATTAAAATCGTCCTTAAAAGAGATGGTTATCGAACGATCAGCTGACCGTCTAAATGCTCCTGCATTCCCCTTTAAGGTAAAAAGAGGAGGTTGGTTGAGTTGGTGGTGGAGAGAGAGAGAGAGAGAGAGCCTTCGAACCCCGGACCCCCCGCCCCCCCCCCCAACCTCCACCCCCAGAGAAAGCCCGCTACAGTAGGTACCAGCTCCAGCTCAATGGGTACAGATCAGACAGACACACACACGACACCTCCTTGGTACGTTCTCACTCTCTCACTCTCTCACGCTCAAATGACCGACTCTCTCAATTTCAATCCATTAATAGACTTCAGACGAGACCCCAGGAGACGAGGGTTCGTGCAGTCAAGGCCACTATCTAGTAGTAGGATTAGTAGTAGTCTACATGCCCATTCATTATGCCTCCCTCATCTCCCTTCAACCTCCCTTCGTCTCTCACACACAATCACACACTCATCCCATCTACCACGCACTCGATCCCTCTCCCCCCAATCCAAGATCCAAGAGCGGCTTTCCTATCAGGATAACCTGCTTGTGTGGCTCGTGCGCACCCCGAGAGGGGAAGAGGCAAGCAAAACGAGCAAAGCGATAGCTCATTTCCCTCTTCCGTACATACAAAAATGTGCAATTCGCCGCAATGCAGCGCAGCGAAGAAAGGGCATCTACAAACACCGCTGCTCCCAACGCCCCTTTGGATTCAAAAATCCAACAAGAAAAACACCCAAAGATAGAACAGAGAGCAGTAAGTAGTAAGAAGAGCAAGATCCAGGACAACTTTTGTCATCGCCAGCAGCGATCAATTTTTCTTCCTTCCATAGCGGTATTGCATATGCCCAGAGAAGGAGAGAGACGTGTCGAAAGAGTCGAATCGAATCAAATGCGGAGGCGGATGCGGCTGGCTGGCTGGCATCTGGTCGTGTACGTGCCCCCCCCCCGAGCTCAAATAAACGTAAAAACAAGAAAGGTAGCTCTCCATCTCCAGCCCGATGTGATATTCGCGTGAGTATCGTCGCGCCAGATTCAACCAATCATTCATGCAATCTATGCGGGGTATTAATCTTGAACCTCGTGAAAACTGAGCAACTCCGTCCCAAAGCATGCATGGTGTTTGCCGAACGAAAATGCAGGATGGCGGTGTGTATATGCCAGGAAAACAATTTGTAAAGGAGAGACGTAAATGCGTAGCAGGTCGTAGGAGGCACGGGTTACATCATGCTCTCCTCGCCGATTCCCGGGAGACCAGGAATGTTCATGCCCAGGGGACCGAGACCGGCAGCTGCCATGTGACTGTTCAACTTGAGTTCGGGATTGCAAGGAGGCGAATGCTGCTTGTGCTACGGGGTGTTAGCCGAGGCTCGGGGGAGGGAGATCCGGCAACGGGGACTTACGTATTTCAATCCGTTGAGGTTCTTGTATCGCTTGCCACAGACGTCGCATTTGTAAGGCTTCTCCTTCTCCATACCGAGCGTGCCGGGGTACGGGACCGAGGTCTCGGGGTTGACAATGGAGAAGGTGCCGTCGCCATTCTCGTGCAGCTGTTGGGTTTGGTGACCGTGAGTCTTGTGATACCTGGGATCGCCAGTTAGCATGTGGTGGTGGTGCGATGGTGGACGAGCGGCTTACTTCAGACCATTCTGGTTCTTGTACGCCTTCTCACAGCCAATGACCGGACATCTGAATGGCTTGTGCTCTTCTCCCAGCATCAGAGCCGCGTGGGGCATAGCGTTCATCGCCATCATCTGCTGCTGCCGGTAGGCTCGCATCAGCTCATCATTGTTCCCAAACTGACCCTGTCCCAAACCGAATTGGGCGAACTGCTGCTGGAGCCGTTGTTGGATGACGCCGTTCGGGCTGTACAAGCGCTTGGCCGGCTCATCGATGCAGAGGTCCAGTGACAGGTTCTCCGAATCCATGCCGAACGGGTAGTTCGAGAGACCCGGAGCCGTGTAGGTCATGTCGACGTTGTGGATGCTGTAGATGTCCGTGGGCACGTTGGCAAAGGAGTCTTCCATCTCACCCGCCGGCGTGCTCGGCACCGAGTCATCGGGCGAGAATTGGTGTGACTGCTGATGCGTGGGTTGGGCACTGAGCGTCGGGGTGTTGACCGAGGAAACGGTAGGATTATGCTGGTACCCAAAGCCGGCCGTAGAGGGCGTTGGCGGCTGGGACGTCGTCCGCAGGCCGGAGTGTTGCATGCCCCCTTGATTCAGATTGAGGTTCGGTCGCGGTGGCTGCCCAAAGTTGAAGGATTGCTGAGCGGATTGATTTGGCTGGTACATGGGGGCCGGCGTCTCTGCTGAGTTGTGGTCCAGCGGTCCCATGGCATCGTCCAGCTCCATATCCACATCCATGTCTCCCACAATGGGCGGGACGTGGTTCGGCAGCGGTGTCGAGGGCTGGGATTGCTGTTGCTGGCGCATCAGTTGGATGCCACCCACACTCGGTCCACTCGGGGGCATCTGGAGACCATGAGGTCGCGGGGCGGGGAGTTGCGGGTTCTGCAGCAGCAGATGTTGTTGGGCTTGCTGCTGGACCAAGGTGGCAGCTTGTGCGGCGAGAGCTGCTTTGCTGTTGGGCGCGGGATTCTCTCGTGTTCTCGCTGCTGCCGTCGGGGTGCGCAGATCATCATTGTTCTGCTTCGCGTGTGCCTCCTCGAAGTGCTGCAAGAGATCGTGGAGAGTGGGTAGGGTCTGGCCGCAGCAGGCGAAGTCCTTCATGAAATTGGCCTCGAGTTTGGGTAGGTAGGAGGAGGAGTGGTAGGAGGGCGACTGGTAGGGGAACGGGGAGGTCCCAGCCATGATGATGCTAGAGACGGTCAGTGTCATGGTAGTGTAGCGCAGGGACTCGATCTCGAGTCAATGCATTGGGAGTGATTCATCGATCCATCTATCCGGCCATCAAGCAGCCGGACCGGCACGGGTATGGATAGATAGACAGACGGGCAGACGGGCAGACGGGCAGGTAGACAGGTAGACAGGCAGACAGGCAGACAGGCAGACAGGCAGACAGACAGACAGACAGACAGACACAGGTAGTAAAGACCGACACCGGCACAAGAGCGAACGAACGCACGTACTCATCTCTGATCCAGCTTCCCACCGAGACGCCTCCCCAACTCATACCTTGCGCCACGCTCCCCGCCAAACTCTCCCGACGCGCCCTCCCGTTTGCGCTTGGGGTCGGAATGTTCATGGAGATGGGTTTCGCCGTGCTCTCGACGGTGGTGGTGGTGCCACCCATCATGGCCGAGGTGTAGGAGTCGGCGTTGACGTGGAGGAAGCGGTTATTATGATTGTTGTTGCTGTTGCTGTTGCTGTTGCTGTTGTCGATGTTGTTTTTGTTGTTGTTGCTGCTGGTGGTGCGGGTGGTGGTGGTGGTGATGGTGGTGGTGGTCGACTTTTTGAGACCCGCGCCCTGCGATGACGGGGAGGATAATGAATGTCGGGAGGGGACGGCGATGTTGATGGGTGCGGTAACGGGTGTGGGCGAGGGCAGCGTCAGCAGAGAATTGTCGCCGCCGCCGATCAGGTCCACGTCGCTGTCGGGGATGCGAGGTTGGTTCACGGTCGCATCCAGGTCTGGCACCGGAATTGGGCCGTGAGAGAGGGAGTGGGAGTGGGAGTGGGAGTGGGAGAGGGAGAGGGAGAGGGAGAAATCTGAAAATCGAGGGGCGATCGGTCGGAGATGCTCACGTAGTGGAGCTGCGGCTGCGTCCGTCGTTGCCGGCGCCGGTAGAACGGTTGTGGTCGCGGTTGTGGTCGCGGTCGTTGTCGTTGTACTAGTTGGGCTATGGGGATTGATATGGGGATTATTGGTATTGGTGTTGATATTGGGATTGGGATTGGGATTGGGATTGAGATTGAGATTGGGAGTGGGATTAGGACCGGCACTGGGACTGGGACTGGGACTGGTACTGCTACTGTTGCCTCGAGCGCTAAACCAGTTGTTGATGTTGATTCCGACCATGCCGTCTCCACTCTACACGATGATCTGGAACTGGGTAGATACGGTACCGGGAGATGGATAGATGGATAGGTGGATAGGTGGATAGGTGGACAGGTGGATAGGTGGATAGGTGGATAGGTGGATAGGTGGATAGGTGGATAGGTGGATAGATGGATCGAGGGGGAGAGGGAGGCAGAGAGAGGCAGAGCGAGGTAGAGCGAGGTAGAGCGCGGGCGAGAGGCGGATGATAAAGTGAGTGAATAGTCGCAATAGGTGAGTTACGGCAAGTTCCGTAAGGCACAAGCAATGCAATCAATCAAGAATTCAAGAATAGGATAGCAGAGCCTGGGATGGCTGGGGCAGGACCTCATCTAGCGAGAGTATCTCTTTGCATGGGATCAAATGGGATGAAGTCGCTTGTCTCCTCTCCCGGGTTCAAGGCAGCGCGGACGCGGCAGCCAGGGCGGCGGATGAGGAAGCCGAAGGAAGAAGAAGAAGCAGACGAAGAAGATGATGATGCCTTTATTTACCTTTCCTCGCCTGGATCCCGACGAGTGGGTAATGATGGTACCGGTACCGGTACCGGTAATTCTCCTCAGCAACTCTGGCGGTGTAAGAGATCAGATCACGAGCAGCACGAACGCGCAACCAGCATGCAAGCTGAGACGGAATTAAGATGAAGCGGAAGAAGAAGTGCTCTACTTGTACGTAGTAGTACATGTTCCCATGTCCCATGTTCCATGTTGCCATGTTGCCATGTTGCCATGTTGCTCTGTTGCCCTGTTGCCCTGTTGCCATGTTCCCATGTTTCCCATGTTTTGGATCCAGAGAAACCTACCGTACTCAACTCCAAAGGGTCCCGACTCCCTCCCCCACGCCCTTGACCATGTAAGTACCCAGGTACTATATTAACTACCTTACTCCTACGACTACGACGACGACGACGACGACGACGACGACGACGACGACGACGACTACGACTACTACGGTACTACCACTCCTCCTCCTCCTCCTCCTCCTCTTCCTCCTCCTCCTCTTCCTCCTACTACAGTACTGCATTCATATACAGATCCACTCACTGACTATCATAGATATCTGATATTGAAGCTATCATGCCAACCTCATAGCTCACTCTGCTCCCTTTACTTCTTCTCCTTCTCCTCTTTCTTCCTCTTCTTCTTCTTCTTCTTCTTCTTCTTCTTTCCTTTCTTCTCCCTCTCCTCCCTCCCCCCCTTCTTCTCCACGCAGCCAAAGCCAGCATACCATCAGCACTCGTCAAAGCCTTCGACCAAGGCCCATGGACCGCACAGTCCGTAGGTAGTAGGTAGTAGTACTACTAGTAGTATAATAAGTCGTCTCCATACTTTCCATCAGCAGCAGCCCGCACTGACAATCCCAGCCAGCAGACGCACGGCCAGCCCAGGGTCAGGTCCATGTCCAGGTCCATGTCCAGGTCCATGTCCACCGTCCACGTCCCACGTCCCACGTCCCATGTCCCAAGGCCCAAGCCCAAGCAAGAGTCCAGTCCCAAACCCCCCCCCAGCCGCAGCCCCAGGCTCATGGATCCCATGGATCCCATGCAAAGGCCGTCGAGTCAGGTTCCGCCCGGCGACTCGTGCGTCGGGACTTGGGCAGTTGTTCGACGCGGTGGGATTCCGATCGCATCCATCCATCCATCCACCGAGATTTCTTTTTTGATTGGATCCGGCCTTGGATTCGGCTTACCATGGAGAGGCGCTTCCTTCCTTCCTCCCTCGCCTCTCGTCACCCGTCTCGCGTGCTACTCCTACAGGTAATGGGGGCATCGTGATTGGTGCCGGCTGAGATCTGCTCATCATCGATCCAATTTCCAGGGTGAGCGAGTGCCCGCGCTCGGATGGATGGAGGGTGGCAGCGACAAAGGTACGTAGTACTAGTAGTAGCAGTACGTACGTAGTAGTATGAAGTACTAGTACGTAGTACCTAGGTACTCCACCTGACAGTATATATGGATCGCAAGTTGAAGTCTATGTATATATACTCTGGACATATAGTACATACATATAGTACAGTAGTACATACAGCTGTACTTCGTATAAATGCAACATGGCATACGCATGGTCGAGCGGGTTGGAGGTAACGAGATTAGGCCTGGCCGAGGCCTGGCCTAGGCCCAATCTCTCAATTGGGGATATACGAATGTAAACATTCAGGCTAAACGCCAATGCCGTAGGGCTGAATGAACCGGTTCGCGGTACCGTACTAGGTAGTGTATCAGACGGCATCTCGTTTCTGGCCTCTAGGCCGGGGACGGTCTAGTTCCTCGATCATCATCTCAGCCCTTGCATGGTAGTACTCCGTAGAAGAGCTGCGTCTCTTGCTGGTTCTGCGACTGTTGACACCAACGGTGGAAACCGCATCTTTCTCTCTTCATCCTTTGGTCACCTCTTTCATCTCCTACCCATCATCCTCTTCTAGACCCCTCGAGCAGTAGTTACTCATTAACCGAGTGGCCGGCCATAGCTTGTTGAAACCATACAAGTTCATCCCACCGGAGTCTCTCACCAGAGGGAGGAACGCAACGTAGAGTAACCGGGTCAAAAGCCTCCAGCTGATCCGGAGATCTGTACGCCTGAGATGAAGTGCGGCCGCTGAACGGATGTTCAACAGATGTACGTAGCCCAGCCCAGCCGCGATTCTTGTCCTCAAAGCCGCAAGTGACTTCTGGCACCAACCCAAGCTATCCAAATTTCAAATCCGATTTCACAACATGATTACACATACCCAATATCCAGCGCGGAATTCGCCTTCTGGACAACTAAACAAAACAACTCGGTTCCAACGGCTTCTGGGCCTGCAGAACATGGGACAGCCTTGGAGTACCGTACCTAACGATCGGCTTCGGGCTTCGCTCGGCAAATGCAACGGGGAGCGACGGCTCAAGGGTGCATTTATCCAAACACGTGTAATTTTAACATACCGACATCGGATCCCAAGCTCTACTACAGGTACCTTACTTAACCACCGGGTGTCACACATCAAGTATGCGGAGTGCGCGCATCAATACACTCATCATCATACCTACCGCTGACCTGACATCATGGACAGCTCCGTGCCTGTCACCCAGTGCTCCTCGGGGTTTGCATTCGCTCTGCTGAGCGTGAAAAAAGAACATAACCAACCTCAGAAGAATCCCATTGCAGTTGCTCGTTTCACCTACAAGAACAGCCATTTGCGACATACCCGTATCGACGGACGGCTTCAGACGAGAGGTGATTGATTGATTGATAGATAGATAGATAGCTCGGGATTTGGACAGGCGACTCCTGACGACATCCACATCAACAGACGACACGACCAGACCGCATACCACCGCCACGAGAGACGAATTGACGAATTGACCAGTCGAGGACACTACGAAGATACCACCGATTTGAACAGCGTTCCTGGACGGCAACGATGAAGATCCTCACCAAGGAAGAGGAGCAGGCGCATTACAATGCCACCGTCAAAGGAGGCCTCACGGGAGGTCTCTTCGGTCTCGCAGTGGTACGTCTTTTCCCTCTCGCCCTCCCCCTTCTCCCTCCCTCCTGAACCACCCTCTCCCTCGACACGAAGCAGCTCCCAGCTCACACGAATGACAACCTGCAGGGCGGCTCCGCAGTCTTCGCAGCCCACCACCGCTTCCCAACCTTCCGCTCCCTCACCCTCCCCATGAAGACCTTCCTCGTCACCTCGGCCGGAACCTTCTCCGCCATCATCGCCGCCGACAAGTCCTCGCGCTCCTTCGAAGCCGGGCGCAACCCGCAGAACCAGTACCGCGACGCGGCCTCGCGGGACCAGGCCGCCCTGCGCGCCTCGGAGTCGGCGCTGCAGCGCTTCAAGGACTGGGGCCGCGAGAACCGTTACTCGATCGTCTCGGCGTCGTGGGTGGCCTCCATGGGCGTCGCGCTGGGCCTGGTCGGCCGGAACCCGTACCTGACGCGGGCGCAGAAGCTGGTCCAGGCGCGGGTGTACGCGCAAGGGCTAACGCTGGCGGTCCTGATCGCGACGGCGGCCTTCGAGGTCGGCGATGCGCAGAAGGGTAAGGGCCGCTGGGAGACGGTCAAGGTCCTGGATCCCGACGACCCGGAGCACAAGCATATCATCGAGAAGCGGATCCATCATGAGGCGTACGAGGGCGAGGATCTGTGGAGGGGTATGTTCTTCCCATCTCGTGTGCGAAGCTCTTGG